TTATGTGATAGTTTACATGGGAGAACACTAGTTTAACATTCATCCTATCGTATATCATTTCATTGTCATGGTTACAATCCCCTCCATGCCTCATCAACCAACCAAAGGGTATACCCTTCCTACAAGCCTGCCCTCCCCACCTCCAGTCATCAGCACATAGCCCCTCTCCCTCTCTGGGTCTAAAGTCTCCAGCTGCTCCATCTCTCCACATCATTGTCTCTGCCTCTATCTCAGGTATTACTGCCTCTCTGAGTAGGGTCCTGCTCTCCCCTCTTCTCCTCCATGGTCCAAGGAACCTCCGCTCCTAGACTGCAAAGTTAATCACACCCCTCCTTACTACAAAACGTCTACCTTTACATTTCCAACCCTCACAAGCAGTCCTGATAACCATTATTCACTATTGTATCACAAGAGACCTATCCACATTCCCTTTCATCAGTCCCACCTAGACAGATTAGATACTACTCAGTGGAGATTCTACCTTTCTCCTCACCCTCTGGATCCAGGCTCCCTCTTGAAAGCTTGTAAGCCAGTCACTTCTTGTCTTTGTAGCCACCCTTCCCCCCACCCATTTTTGGGTAGCCAATGTCCAAGTTGCCCATCCCTGTCTACTCTGTTTATGGAGGGGGTGTGAAGGATTCACTTGCTTGTTTTTAAAGTCAGTTGTGTTCCAGTCATTGACAACTTGGATTAGATGAAATTATTACAAACAACACTAAGGACCAGATATTAGCATAAAAACTTTCAGAATATCCAATCATGTGCAATACATATGTTCATTTATGACATCCAATATTTGATCTGGAAAGCCTGAATATTTAGCATTATGATTACTAAACCTTAGGATTTTGTCTTATTTTTCAGAATTGGGCCAATGAAGAGTAGATGGCCAAACATTTGAATACATGTCTTCCAACGTGAACTATATAAGCTATCAAAAAATGCCCCTTTGCAAGTACTAGGTAATTGAATGGTCTTTCTTGAAATCATCTAAATACTTGTCTAAATGCATTCTATAATATTTATTTTGTTTCAGAAATGTCAGGTGATGCCATCTATATTTTCCCTATTCAAACTAAGTGTTACTATAAATGACTTCACAAAGTTCTAAAAAGTTCTTCCATTTTTAAGCAGAGAAAGAACATCATGGAGAAGTACCCCAATCCACACTCTCAGCAAGCTGTAATCTTCAATACTTCCCATTCAGAGCAGTAAGATATTAATTGTACAACTTTTTGTCTCTACATTTTGCACTCAATAGCACGTAAGGGACTTGAGTTTCACACCTTTGATAATATACTCTCTAAAAACAAGCAGTGGTCTGTCATCATCAAGACCATGTCAAAGGACTTGGGGGACATTGTATCAGATATAGGGCAATATTAGTATTGCTAGTTTAATAAAGTCCAGAAAGCACCCTACAGGACATACACATTTGAAGAGGGTCAACTTGAGCATTCCAATATCTTCCTACCTGCCTCTTTGGAAATCTGTGTGAAGGATTCCACACCTTTCTCTCCGTAACTTCCTTCAGATGCAAGAGTAGACACATAATTCCAGCCTAGGGCCTTTACAATGTCTACCATGGCCTGTGCTTGGAAGGAATCAGGTGGTACCACACGGGAGAAGAAGTCATAGCGTCGATCGTCACTTAGCTCAGGTGCTGTTGATGCATAACTAATCTGGGGGATCTGAAAAGACAAGAAAACACAACATGAGAGCATGCCATCACAGGACGTGAGAGATTCATTTATACCTATGACCATTTACTCAAATGCAGAACCTGAACTCTGAAGGGGAAGAATGCTTTGCAAACACAGGCACATATTTTAGACTCTATTGTTGTTGTTAAGTGTTGTGGAGTCAGTTCCAAACCACAGCGACCCTGAACAGGGTTTCCGAGGCTATAAATCTTTATGGGACCAGAAAGCCTCATCTTTCTCCTGTGGAGCTGCTGGTAGTTTCTAACTGCTGACCTTGCAGTTTGCAGCCCAATTCATAACCACTACACTACCAGAGATCATTTTAGATCCTATACATGGTCTCTAAGTAAGTCAAAAAAGTCTCAATGACACTTAACAATAATAACAACAAATATACACCTACCAAGGAGCTCCAGTAACAGAGTGGTTACGTATTGGGCTGCTAACTGCAAGGTCAGTAGTTTGAATCATTCAGCAGGAGAAAGGTGAAGATTTCTGCTCTCAAAAAGTTATACAGCCTCAGAAACCCTCCACAGGATCGCTATGTCTCCCTGGCACATAGCTGCCGCCACTACCATATACAACAACTCTGGGCCATCTTTGTGTGGGCTTCACTTTTGTTTTGTTTTTTTTTTATCCTCTCCTCTTGAGAAAAGGAATGAGGATGGCTTCGGATTTGTAATGTCAGGATCATCGTGGTGATGAGGACAAAAAGAATGCATTAGCATGCTAAATAACATTCTGTAACATTTTAATGGAAAACAAAAAGACAATGGTATAATTGGAGGTGGGTTTACTTGGCACAGTTTAGGAACCTGGTAGAGATCAGTAGTCACCTAACACTGACTGGTGTGCTGACGACCAGTGAGGTAATATCTAAGTCAGTTTCATGCACTATGCCGTTTATTCTTTATAAGAATATGATGAAGTAGATCAGTGCCACCTTTTGATCCAGGCAAGGGAGTCCCCTGCCCCAGTGGCCTCTGAACTTTGGAGGGACTTCCTCATAATTGTTTTTCTCCTGGGAATACACTGGAAGTCCTATCTCAATTCAGGTTACATGGGAGTCCCATTTTTGACCTTCACACCACTCCCTGACTCTCTATTCCACATGATATTGACCCATGTGCCCTAAGGAGCTACAGGACTTGAGTCTATGGGATCATCCCAGGAGTGCAGATAGCAGGACTCTTGTTTCAAGAGGCTAGCAGAGCAATTGAATTGGTCCTCAGATATATAGTATTTACCTCATGGGATCCTAAGAGATTGAACTTCCTGAGTGGTTCAGCCAATGATTCTCATTATTTCTAATTATTTACATGGAAAGAAAGAAGCACTGTAAGAAAAACTTGCCTGGGGTCTCAGCTACGCTGGAGTTGGCATCAAAATAGCCACAAATGAAGACTCCAGCAATGGGAAACTTCAGGACTGCTGCTACTGAGCAAAATAAAGGCCCCTCCCCTAAATCCCCCTTTTTGATGCTTTTTGCTAACACCGACACTAGCTTATAGATTTCAATTGATACAACCGAACTGCCAGTAAAAAAGATTAATTCTGACAAACTTCAAATACTCCCAGATCTTACTTCTATTTTAATCTTAAAGTTTTGCAGGCATCTCATGTGGGTTAATGCGCTGAATTCCAAAGTTGGTTTGAACCGCAAGGTCAGTGGTTCAAGTTCACCAGTGGATCCTTGTAAACCCTATACAGGTTTGCTATAGGTCAGAACTGATTCGATAGCATTTAAAAGAACAACTACAAAAAAAGACCACTTTTGACCTTTGCTCATGTCAAGCACAACAATCTAAAGATTTCCAGAGCTACCCTGATTATTTGTGCTCTTCAAACTCTGCCTAATACGGAGAAATTTCTCTCCTTCCTGTACAGTTTGGGTTAAGGATACTCATTTGCCTATGTGAAAAGTCAATGAACAATTCTGTAAAGTTAGTATATTCTTCATCAACTTTTCTAGAATCAAGCCATGTGCCTTAATGGAAAATGACCTTCCATTTTGCACAGATGATCCAGTTATAGAACTAACCACTGGGTCCAGGTTCTAGTCAGTAACTCAATGGCAAAGCTAGTGTGAGCAAACCTTAAATTCTTCTCTATTTCCTCTTTTACAGAAAACAGACAGGTATACTGGGGGAAAAAGTGAGGTTTGGCACATAAATAACCTGGGTCAAAAATTCACAATACGTTTACCTTTGTGAGTTGCAGTTTATCACTGGTATAAGATTGCTCTAAGAGGGACAATGAATGGGGACAATCATGCTTAGCATATGCCTGGGACAAAGTGAGCACTTAATAACTACATTGTTGTTGTTATTGTTATTCAGTGCTGTCAAATTGATTCCAACCCATAGCAACCCTGTATAAGGTTTCCAAGGAGCAGCTGGTGAGACTAAACTGCTGACCTTGCTGTTCAAACCAACTCTGCAGTCTAGCACATTAACCTATAGCACCACATCAAGACTCTAATAAACACACTGAAACAATAATAATCGAAATAGAGAAAAGTACTTTTTCATCTCTTAGGTTGTCTATTCTCCACATTTGACTTCCCAACACTTGATTTATTGACGTACCCATCCATAAAGACTCCCCCTCCTTGTCCTCAGGGCTTGTTTTCATAGATTCCTACTATTACTACTTTATAAATAACATTGTTTGCTGATTTTATTATTTATCGTGTGCAATTGATGGTCTAAAAACTTTGAATACATTACCTTATCTAACCATCAACAAATCTTCTTCACCACACAAATCTTATTCACCATACAACTACACTATAATTTACTAGATTCTGCTTTACAACAGTATACTATATTATACTTTGTGGTTATTAAGTGCCATCAGGTAGGTTCCAATTCCTATTGACTCTAGTGGGCTTAAGAGGAACAGCTGGTGTGTTTGAATTAATGACTTTGTCATTCAAACTGACCTTACTTACAATGCTATAATTCCACCATTCACATGTGAGTTTTTCATACTGTGGAGGCTTGTGTGTTGCCATAATACTTGCCACTATGCCACCGGTATTGTAAATACCAGTAGGATCAGCCTGCTAGCCAGGTTTAAGCTGAGCTTCCAAACTAAGACAGACCAGGAAGAAGGAGAGGCTGACTACTTTGTATGCTAAGCTACTAAAAGCTTTATGAATACCAGTAGAATATTGTCAGATAGTACCAGAATACTTAATATTGACACATTATGAATAACATCAAAATACTTTCAGATACAGTCTAAAGAGGAGCCCATCTGCTTGTAAGGTGCTCAAAATATGACCAGGTAAGAGCTGCCTTCTTAAAGTAGAATTGACAGTGATGACGGAAATGGGGTACAGTTTTGGGGGCCTCCATTTGCTAATGGGTCACAATTCAAAATGAAAAGAATCAGGTACAAACATCAATTACTAATCATAACCTTAAGCATTAGTGAGCTAAAACGGACTGGCATTGACGCTTTTCAGTCAGACAATCATTTGGTTTACTGAACCAATAATGAGAAATTGAAGAGGAATGGCATCATGTTTGTAATCAAAAAGAGTATTTCAAGATCTATCTTGAAGTATAATGTTGCCTGTGATAATCCATAGAGCTACAAGGAAGACCAGGCAAAACTATGATTATACAAATTTATACACCTATCACTAAAGCAGTAAAAACAAGGAGGAAGGATCAGTAGTTGGAAACAATGGCCAGGGTGACAGAAACAACACCGGAGATTGCATGATAAAATTATGCAAGACTAATGACTTTATTCATTTCAAATAACTATTTAAAAAAAACTTAAAACATGGCTATACACATGGACCACATCAGACAGAATACATAGAAATCAAATTGACAACATCGGTGGAAAGAGACAATGGAAGAGCTCCATATCATCAACCAAAACAAGACCAGAGGAAGACTGTGGAACTGACCATCAAATGCTCGTATGCAAGTTCCAACTGAAGCTTAAGAAAATTAAAACAAGCCCAGGAAAGCCAAAATATGACCCTGAACATATTACACATTAATTTAGAGATTATCTAAACAGCAGATGAAACACTAACAACCAAAGACCAGAAGAGTTGTGGGGAGACATGAAGACTATCATACAGGAAAAGAGCAAAAGGTCATTAAGAACACAAGAAAGTGCGTTAAACAATAAGAAGTGTGAAAGGGAAGCCCACATCCTGATCACATCTTCCTGGAAGCAATGAGAAAGCATAAAAAAATACCAAAACACATACTCAATTAAGTATTACGGCCAAAGATAAACATTCGACATGTCCATGAAGCAAAAGCAGATGACCATATCAGCACATGTCCAGAAACAAGATAAA